ACACACACACAGGCACACTGCAGCCTCTCAAATTCAAGTTTAGCTCGCTGGGAGATAAAAAAGAAGGAATGAACACATTATGAGATGATCCACCACTATCACTCTAATCCCCAGATGTTCGTGTTGCTAATCTCTTTAGCCGCTAACATGTTAAATTAGTCCTAATATCTGCAGAGATTCAGAGCCATAGAGGCCCACCTACGCGTGGGCTACCGCCCAGGTTTAGGTCACTCTTCTCCCCCAGCTCTGGAAAAGGATACAGACATTAGAGTGGGGGGCGGGGGTGTTGGTGGAGGCTGAGGGAAGTAGCAGTGATAGCCATTCGTCACCCTGCCTATCTTGCTCTGACAGATGGGGAGTGTGGCGTGCCACATAGAGGAGTCACTGCCTGTAATGACATTAGAGGCACAATGAGACCTGATACACAATTTTTTTTTTTTTTTGCTGTTCCCTTCCTGCCTGGCCATCAACTCGCTCCTTTGGCTTGATCCTTCCCCTCCTTTCATTCCTACTGGTACATCTCCATCCATCCTGACAGCAGATGAAACGGCGTGTTTTTCAAAATGCAGCACAAACACACAGAAACGCAAACACATTTGCACGCGCTACATCAAAAAAGACAAAGAAGAAACCCCCGACAAATCTACAAATCTGAAAGAATAAAGTTTTACGTTCGTGAGGGGGAAAAAAATCTGACAAAAATGACAGACATGCTCAAGTAAAAACAGTGCACTGTGTGTGTGTGTGTGTGTGTATGTGTGTGTGTGTGTGTGTGTGTGTGTGTGTGTGTGTGTGTGTACTAACGTTCAGATTGTATTTGGGAAACCATATTAAAGCGTGTTTTTGGTTCTGCTCTTCAAGGAAATGGGAGTTTATTTAAAAAGAGAGAGCGTTTATTTAATGTGCCATACACCTCCTAAAAGGTTTACTTACTGCACTGTAATATGTTATTTTAAATCCTCACAGCCACATTTCCTAGGAGGATAAGGGATACTGGCATGATATATATATTTTTCGGGACACATGCTATTACCAAATGTGTTGCAGATGTACTGTGAGGTGAGGTGGGGTTTCTTAGAAAAACATCGCCACTCCTGTCATGATAAATCACCTTCCCCAATTTGCTATAACGTGTCTAGAATTAGGATTTGATACTTAAGCATCAGCAGATTTCGGCACAGAAGGAAAGTCAAATTTTCGCCATTTTCCCCGTACAATTCTCTGAATGCAGAAACAATCTGGTGGATGACTGTGTGTAACTCCGGTTCTAGGAACTTGAATTCAAAGGGGCAACACAAAGCCCTACAGCTGTCTTTCAAAGTGACAAATAAATCCTGAGCATGAGTCAAGGTAAAGTTCCTCTTCTTGCTGCTCCCTTGATTCAAAGAAGTCGTCTTCCGTGTCCTCAATAACAAAGCCACATTAACAAGCACCCTACAGACCGTCTATTAGAATGTGAAAAAGCGCTGTGTGCTGTATATTAGTTTTTAGTGACTAAACACTTGGGAGAGAGGCGACCTAGAATCAAGCCTTGTGGTGCACTGAGTGTATATGTTCTCATCGTCCTCTCAGCTCCACTTGTGAGACTTAAAGAGAGAGGGAGAACGCTTGTTAGATCTATGTGCTGAATCGCTGCTCCCTCTTTCTCTTTCTCTCTCTCTCTCTCTCTGTCCGTCTGCTTAACAGATGGGAGGGTCGTGGGTACAGCTATTCCCCTCCCCCTGGAGAGGCCTGGTGCCTGTTCAAAAAGATCCCTCTTTATGCTTCACTCCATTTCCCTCTCTTCTCTTCTCCGTTACTCTGCCTTCTCCTTCATAGTCACCTCTCTATTTCAGAGCACAGAGAGTTGGGACAGAGAGGGTATAAAACAAGCAAAAGGGGCAACCGTTGTCCTTCTGTCTGCTTGGTGCCAGTTTGCCCTTCGACCTTAGCAGTCATCTGCCCCAGCCACCTTCCAGTTTACCAGGCTGGTGTGAAAGCAAGCATACCATTAGTCAAACTCTGCAGAGAAGATAAAGAAACTCTTTTGTGTATGCTTCATCTTCCTCAGCTCGTTCCCTCTTCCCCTGCCCCTTGCTTCAGGATTAGCAAATTGGCTTAATGTGTGTAAGCGTGTTAGTTCTCTCTTCTGTGTCACTCTGTCTTCTTCACTCCCTTCTTTTTCTTCTTCAACTTATTTGCCCCATCAAGGTCAGATGTCAGTGCCGTGCGAAAAAATTCCTGCCTGTGCTCCTCTACCATGTTTTCCAAACTGCGATGGTTTCTTCTGTTACCCTTCAGTTCTTGGCAACATGAGGCTAAATTGGATTGCGTGATTCAGTGGTAATCTGTTAAGTTAACCGATGCTCTTTCCATCGACAGGGGAAGGAGAGGGAAAGAAGCACGATGAGGAGGTGGGTGCTCGGTTGTTATCCAGAAGCGGCCTGGCACTCATATGGGACGGGGGCGGGTGTGAGCAAATGTGGGGACCGAGGGGAAGGGGACTTGCGTCGTTGTGTGGGAGGAGGTAGAGGAGGCAACCGTGAGAAGGGATAGGGCTATAGGTGGAGGGGGGGGGTTAGTTGAGTCCGGGAGGCACCGACACGGGGCTAAGCGGCAGCAGAACCTCACCTCAGGGAGCATTGGCTGGTGCTGTGAGCCAAAAGCGGGGATTAAATGTTCAGGACATGGGCTTAGTCTTAGTGCTAATGTTACGTAAGGCCTAAGGTGTTGCCCCAGCGGTTGTTGACATTGAGAGGTTCAGCTCTGCTCAGCGGACTGTGGGAGGAACGAGGAGGTGGAGGCCAGGAGGCAGGGATCACAAAGGTAACGCCTCCTTGTTTGGAGCGCTGCCCAGGCAGGGGGAGTGTTGAGTACAAAGACTGGGAGGGGATGATGCTGTCAGCCTGTGATTGAGGTACGCCGGCTTGATTGATATCCTTGTCTGGCTGTCTTGTGCCAAAGCGCCTCGGTGTTGGCTTGTAATCCCAGTTTGTCTGACAACATCCTTCTTTGTTTTCTTCCAGAGGGCAGTGCTTTGTTTTTCTGTCTGTGGATGGGTGTGTGTGTGCAGAGCAATGCTCAAATGTTTTGGATAGCCTCTTCAGAGCTGCCACAGAGTTATTTTAGATCTTGTTGTTATTATGATGGCGCAGTCCAGCTGTTGTCTTAACTGCCAAATGATGCATTTGTGTTTGTTACTCATTTCTTCCATAAGTGGGCGTACTCCAAACATCAACTTGGGAAATTTTTTGTCACACGTTTCATCATTGTTCAACTTGTATTGTCACATTTTGTTTTAAATTGATGTGATGGACGATTTTTGCGTACATACTCAAAATGTACACAGGGATCGATGGGATGTTATTCCTAAAGAATGGGATATCATTTCTAAATTCACACCATGCATATATAAAGAAAGACCAAATCTAATACTATTATTATTACTTCAAGAAAGTAACATTACTGCGGCACACTTGTCATGAAGATCTACAGTTATGCACTCCAGCTACAGGCCCTTGGTCTGTCTTAAGAGCCAGAGTATCCCTGGATGTTCCTATTACGCGCTTTCATTATCAATGTCCTACTCTTGCACAAAGAGGTCAAGTGCATAGCAATGTGCTGCGCTTACCTCAGGGGTTTACTGCTTTCTTGTGCTTTCTCATGCATGTTACTCAATAAAAAATGGGGACAAAAAGGGAAAAGAAGAGGGGAAAGGAAGTGCATTACAATGCGCATGTATGCGGGATGGTGCAAAGGAGAGAAGAAGAGAGCAATAGTGTAGGAGAGAAGAGACAGAGTGATAGAGAGAGCGACCGACATGTCTTCTGGTGAAGCGGTGTCGTCTTCCACATCAATGTCTGATGCTTGTGCTGCCAGGTGCCGGAAATCTGGTTCAGAAAGGAGAGAAGAGAGAAGAAGGGGAAAGTAGAAAAAAAAAAAAAAAGGCAGGGTAGATGGAGGATTTTTTTTATGTGATGGCGCTGACAGCTCCCCTGCATTGCACTGTGCTTAAATAATGGGATGCTCATTTGCATAACGAGGGACGTTATCACCTCTACTGTCAAAAGAAAACACAACAACAGTTCTTCTGCTCCTCCCTGAGATAGATTGGGTTGGCCTACTTTAGCACTCTGGAGAGATGCACTGGAGCTCAGGCTCAGCCAAACTCACACAAGAACACATAAGAACACACACACACATGCACACACACACATACGTACGGACACACAGTCGTTAACTCGCGCAAACTTTTTGGAGCGCAGGTTTCTTCTTTTTCGCAAAATACACGCAGGGTCATCAGCTGCTGGCATCCAACCCTTAAAGCAAATGCAAAAGTACAATTCTTCAGTTGGACACAAATGTAAAGTCTAAATCTGGATGATGTTCATGTTGGAATTCAGTTAGATTTTCTGCCTCTAAGAAAAATCTATTTAACGTGATTCAAAAGATCACTCTTGGCACCTTTTATCCTTTGTTTTGTGGCTTTGTTTTACTGAAACATGGAAAGACTGAGCTCAGTTTTACATCTGTATTCCATCCTGTGATTCACATCTATCATTTTGGAGATGAGCTCCAGATAGACTCGCAATAAAAGCCATGTCTGGCTGTACCAGCACTGTCAATACAGTGCAGTTCGTGGGAAGAAAGAAAATGTATTTCTCAGTCTGGAGGTAATGTTACAGTGTCGGTGATTAGAGCGTTTAAGTTAGCGGCACTTCCAAAACACTGTCAAACTCTCTGTGAACGAAGCGAGATCCTGACAGCGCTGTCTTCTCTCATAGTCGGTGCCTGGGAAAAAAAAATGCAAAAACTGATTTGCATGATATCGACAGTGAAAAACACAGCGGCTCTCACAACATTGTTGACAGATTCTTTGTCTTTCTTCACCCTCCCTTGTGGCTGCCATGATGCCACTTTTATTTTTTTCTCTCAGTATTTTGCCATATTTCATTTCATTTAATGCTCTTCCTCTTCTCTCCTCTCCTCCCCCCCTCCCCTTTCTTCTCTCTTTCTTACAGGTACGGATGCTGGAATCTTTGAGTTGATTGGAACAAATAGAAAGCAGAAAAGCGACAGATAAAGAAAGAGCAGAAGAGTGACGAGAAAGAAGAAGAAGAAAGGGGAGAGTGAAGAAAGCATAGAGTTCTTTAGAAAGAGGAGAGAAAGAAAAAAGACGGGGACGATGGGGAGAAAAAAGATTCAGATCACGCGGATTATGGATGAACGCAACAGACAGGTAAGTCCCTGGGGGATGGGAGGATGGATGAGTGTGAGGGTGGGGAGGAGGAGGGGTGGAGGAGGGAGGAGGGAAAATCACCCTGCACCCCACATAGCCCTGAACAATGAAGGTCTTCTGGGAGTCTGGGCAATAATATGAACTGGACAACAGAGAAGTGTATGAGGGGATATTGCTTTGGGTAGAGGTGTTCCTTCGGTTCATAATGGCGGGTTTGTTTGTGTGGGTGCACCAGGACGACTTTTTCTAAACAGATTTGCATGAGAACATTTGTAATTCTTAAAAAAAAAAAATCCACTGCATATCACTGCCCACTTTAAGGACCGCAGCCTACGCACACAACTGTAGCACCCTTCACACACCCAACCTCTCGCACCATGCCACCGAGTTTAGCTCACCAGCAGTGGAATATTACCGAGTAGCACTGGAGTGGCAGGGTGGGAAAAAACATAAACAAACAACCAAACAGAGATGGGATGGTCCAAAGTGACACACTGGATCGAGCCAACAGGGCGGAGATGAGGTGGAGACAAACACTGAATCAGTATTTTTCTTCAGCTAAATCAGTAACAGTAGGGCCGCTGTAGCTTTCCTATGCTTGGCAAGGAGACATTCTAAACCAGAGATGCTGTGCATGCATAGCAATTAGAAAAAAAACCTTGAAATGAACTAACCTTGCAACAATAGATTTCTTGCAGCACACATTTTTAAGAACAGCTGGCATTACTTGAAAGAGACATGATAAATTGTGGATGTCTTGGTCCAGGCAGACACCGCCGTCTGTGGCAGGAAATAGATAGAGACACAGTTCTCTCACTGCCCCCGAGGCCCGCAATTGATCACTTCCTGTGGCACGACTGACCACTGACACTTTGTCAGCTTCCTGGCAGCCCAATTGGATCCATACGCTGCTAACATGGCCCCTGGATCACAGGTCAAATGCGCACATAGCCACACACACACACCTTGTCCGAACACAGGCTTTACTTCATTGCTTTTGCAGCGTCTCCACTGGCGACATCCACAATGAGAGCCACACAGCCATGCCTCACAGAGTAAAGCGACACAAAGAGGCTTGAGGAATTGATCGGTCAATACTGAAGGAGTAATTGAAGCAGATTGTGACCTCTGTCAGGCATCAACTCAGTGAGTGAGAGCGGAGTAAAAGAGGAGAGTGAAAATTTGAGTGCGGGGAAAGAACTTCAAGTAATTATGATTGAGCTCTAATACTGTTATAATGTTGTAATGCTGTGTTCCAGGCTGTAAGAGGTGGCAATTTAGGGTGTCAGACAATCGTAAAAGACAATGAACAGTGATAATCCAGGGGGACATATTTCATTACCCCTTAACTAGGGTCAAACAACAAACGTTAGCTTTCAACTGCCTGCTAGCTAATATTCAACAGATAGGAAGTGCCTGGCAGCTAAATATTACAGTTTGGTAGAGCAGATAAATTATTAGCTGATGAGTTGTTATCTAGGAATTAATAATAATGCAAAAGGTGGTTAAATGCTAAAATTAGCTGTTGTCTAACATTAGTATAGTAAAGAAACAGGCACCATTAGCTTTCAGCCACTATCCAACTGTTAGCTCGTAAGTACAGCCGACAGCTAATATTACACTTTGAAACGGCCACATTTCCCAACAAATAACATTTTAACAAGGAATTTACGGTGCTGTAATGGTTGCTAGCAGGTGGTTCAAATAAAAAACTGCTGTTTTCAAATTGGTAATTAATGGCCTATCAAAGGTGTTTTTTTTTAAAGTGTTTACAACAAAATACATTCCAATATCCCTCCTGACTTACACGGTTTATTGTCTTTTCAGTTCTAGGTCAATCAAGATAAATCAAAATGATAACTTAAGTCTGAAACTCTTCATTAATTCAGCTTACAACTTAAAACAAAGCAGTGCAATATAATTCCAGAATTTATGCTTCCCACCCCGAACTCGCTTCAGAGAGAAATGGACGCTGTGTTAATGTGATCAGTGCTCAAGTCCTGCACAAAAACTGCAAAAGATACATAGAAGACAGATTGAAAAACAGGCTGAGAACACCTCACAAAATATACCCATGGGCTCTGAATTATAATGCATGTATTTGTTTTTGAAAAACAGACAAGCAGACAGAGAAAGAGCAAGGAGGAGGTCACACAGTTTTACATGAAGACTACAGCTATCATGTTGCAGCAGCACCCACACTTCCTCCTTAGCGTTATCTCAGCCCTGCTCTCTCATCCAACCTTAGCCTGGGCCCGCCAGTAACACCAGGCACTCCGGCTCCTGCGGATAAGGAGGGAAAGAGGGAGACAGGAAGGACACCTGAGGGGAATCGATGCCTGAGATATCCGGGCTTTACTTACAGGGAGAGGAGGAGGAGGATGAGGGAGGCGAAGAGAGGAGAGGGAGAGGAAAAAGGGTTCAGGGAAGGAAAAATCAATACATGGCTGGATTTTGTTGTTCTGATCTCTTAAATGATAGCTCGGTTTGTTTTGTTTGTTTAAGTCCAATAGCAATTCCTACTGACATGATGTCATTGGTCTTGTGAAAAACACCACATGCATGAGGAGCGTACGGCACTAAGTGTCATTCAACCTACAACCTAAATAAATGACATCACTAAATATGTAGAGGCGGGCATCACAAGACAGACACAGAAACTTCAAATTTCTTAAAAGAAAAAAAAAAACAGTAAGAAAAAGGAAGCTTTTCATTTGCATGTTTTCACTTCCTATTTAAGGAAATGTTCCAGACCCTGAGCCAAATAAACAGCAGATGCATTTGTATAGAGCTGATTTACACCTCAAACTCTTTTTTATGTGTATAAGGTTTGAGCAACTTCTTAAAACAGAGTCTTTAAAAATGTATAAATCAAGACGGCACAATACTTCTTTCAGTCCCAAATAACTGCATAAGCCTTATATAGCATTTCCCTTGACGCTTACATGCCTACATAAACTTCATACTGCAGACGTCTTTGGAGGGGCACCACTCTGTGTAGCTGTCATCACTACCTTGCCACCTACAGGGCTACATTGCCCACCATGCAGCGGCGGCAGCATCACAGTGGGCACAGGGCCTGGCCCTCTCTGGGCGGCCACTTTGGGCTGCCACCCCCAGGCCCCGAAACACTTCCCGAGAGCAGGGGCAGAAGGACCAGGCCTCCCTGGCGTTGACTGGCTGCCCGGAGCTCCGGACAGTGGGCAGCAGTGTGTGAGCCCTGGCTCCAAGCCCCACGACCACTCAGACCCTCTCCCAGCCTCGGGCACATGAAAGGGCCCCCTGTGCCATAAACTCATGGGCTGCTCACACAGAGCACACTCTCTTGCTCTTGCTCGCACACACAGATACACGCACACCTTCGGTCTGGGATGCACGCACAGGTGTGTGAAGACATACACTGGCATAAGTTTGAGAAACAGCAGATTACACTTTCTCACAAGCTTAAATGATGATTTGGTGTCTTGTTTTCACAACATAGCCAAATGCACACTTGTAAACACTTGTACACATTTTAAACACATCTATCTCTCAGGAGTCGGTCCTGGGGATCGACTAATTTACTGCAATTGGCTCTAATTAGTGTAACCTCTCCAGCCAGTGCACTCTGTGGACTTAATTTAGGATGACTTGTTTGTGCAAATCGGTGTGTATGTGTGTGTGCTTGTGTGAGACATGTCGTTTCCAAGGGGGGAAGGGACCAGGGGCCAAAGGTTAATCATGGACCAGGTCATCAGTGGCAGGAAGTAAAAACACAATCTCCAAACTCCCACAAACAAATGTCATACAATCACAGACTTAGCTGGAAGAAGATTACAAATCTAAGTTTTTTATGTCTTCCTGCATATGGCCACTCTCTTCCCTCACATTGCGAACAGCAGCGCTGCCGCTGAAATAAGGGGTCTTTTTGTTTCAGCGACAAAGCATTCTTCTCTCCAATCAACAGCACTGGGGTGAGAAAATGTGCAAGTGAAATTAACAGCAGGAAAATAATGAGGCCCACAGGGTCTCTACTCACCCCTGCACCCCTCCTCTAATTCCCTGTTTCCCACCTTCTACTATCTCCTCCTCTAACAGAGCAAATGGCACTCCTCTCCGTCATATGTTCAGCTGTGAGACTTTGCCTGGAAAAGGGCTCACAAAGTTCTCACCTTTGATCTGCTGTGTTTTAATTCTCTCATTTTATTTATTTTTCCTTATCCTACTTTTTTTTTCTCGTTCACATGTTCTGTCTCTCTCATGTCACTCTCCTATTTTCACTCAATAGAAAGTCTTCCTCATTTGCTTCTTCTGTTTTTTCTTTGATATCCTATAATGGTCCAACTTAAAATTAAAGATTTTTATTTGATTTTACACACCAAAATTATGTATTATGAAGTCTAAAACTGGGTTTGAGGCCCACAATGCATTTATTATTTCCTTTTTTTAACTATTACTTTGAATAATTGACAAACAATCTGAAGCTTGTTTAAGTCTTTCTTTGTAGTCCATTTTTTACAAGCTAATTCTTTATTCAAAGACTTCATTTCATAAAATCTAAAGACAACAGAAATAAGTGAAACAATGAGCTGCCTTGTGTCCAAAATTGATGTGACAAAAAGTTTAAACCAAGTGCCTCTTAACTCTTTTTTTGTTGAAATAGGGAATACTCTTTTAGGTCTTCTCTGTCTGCCTTAGTGCCATGACCAATATGTAACAACCACTTTTTTTCTCAGTGGGTACATCCTTTTCCACGTGTGATTTTTCAGCACAGACAGGACCCTTCAAAGAAGGAGCCATTACAAGATCAATAAAAACTGGCTTGTATTTTAAGACCCCTATCACTTCAATCGTCATAATTAAGAAACCAATTAGTCAGTTGTACAAGTTAGAGTTAAACTTTTAAGTGGATTCTTCTGATTGAGACTCTGAATGAAGAAATGTTTGGAGTCTGCGGCCTCCTGTTTCCTACTGTATAATGAAGGCGTACTGAAAAAGGATGATAAGAGGGGTTTTTGAGGAGAGAGAAGAGCATAGCATATATTAGAGGTGGGACAAAGCCTCTTTTGTGGTAATGCCCCTCTTAACAGCTTCTTTGGCTGTGAGGCAGAGTTCAGGACCAGGTCTTTGGCTCCTCTTAGTCCTTTTGCGTAAGCCTGTGTCTTCCTGCTCGGCCCTTGACAATGGGAGAAGTGTTTGTCCCAAGAGCGATCGTCCTGCTCAAAAGCTGACTGACATCTAAGAATGTGTGTGTGTTTCCCTGCATGGCCATGTTTGGTTTGCTAACCAGCAGTTTTGTGGTGCCTGTCTCTCCTCTCCTCCTCCTCCTCCCCAAGGGAAGCAGGCAGGAGGTGGGAAGCAGAAGCGAAGCCATTGTGAAGGGGAAGCCACTGGCCTCTTCCTGTTATGAGAGGAAATGCATACAAATGTGCTTCCTGTACATCCACCCCCTCTATGCTGCCTCCCCCTCCTCCATCTCTCTCCCCTCTCACCCATGTGTCACAGATGCTGCCTCCTCTGTCGGTCCCTCTGTTTTGCCTTTTGGCTAGGGGAATTGTAAGTGATCATTTGGTTAATTGAAATTAAACAAACAAAATAAGGAAATGCGAAAAACAATTAAATCAGAATTACAAAAAAAAAGTTTAACTTTTTAAAAGGGGAAGTAACGGTAAAGAGTTTGTGGGTTTACATGGGTGTGTATGTGAATGCGTTTGTGTGCGTATGTCTAAACTTCTCCTGGGATTGGTTTATGTGGAAGAGGATAGGGGTGAAGAAAAAGGGCTTGTGTACCACTATGAGTCTACAGTGTTTTTGCTTGTGAATGGGTGCCCATTATGGGGCGACGTAATTCAGAATAAAGCTTAATATCAATATGTTTATATCAAATTCAATAATTATTAGTGTATATGGTGAGAGGCAAGTATTTTGCGAGTAAAATGTTTTTCAAATGTCTCTTTTTGTTGCTATGAACTTTTTCATAGTTAAGCAATGTCATAGCAAATGTGGATATTGACGTGAATGAGTAAAATATTGTAGGAGGTTTCAGAATTTGTAACATAAAATTCTAAATAATGTTTTTATTGTGGATGCAGAGGCCGAATCTATAGTGCTAACTTGGTTTAAAAAGTTATTCTTGATAAATACTTATTTTTTTACTGTACGAATATGTGTGGGACTGAAAATGTTAGCCTTAAACTAATGAACAAGGACGCACGCAGACTGTCCTCAAAGCATACAAATACAACATTCTTTATTAAGTTCAGTCTTTAATTCAACGACTGAGTGGTCAACAAATGTCTGTGTGTGTGTGTGTGTGTGTGTGTGTGTGTGTACATATGAAGTTAGCCTTCACACTCTGGTTACCCATTTATTACTGTGAAAAAACACATTTGGCTTCACACTCACACCCTTACACTGTACTTTCCCTTTTTACCAATACACATGGTGGCAAATGTGCTGTAATGTTGCGCTCTTTGTTATTAACATAGTGGTGTGTCTAACAGCACCCACTGACCGAGGAAACAAAGATTACACCCACACTGACATACGGGTGGTTTACAGTGGGGTTTTTTTCAGTGTAACAACAAAGACAGAGGGCTCATTAATTCCAAGGACAAGCTGTTCAACTCGATACAAAGGCTGTACATCGACATCAGAATTATAGTTGTTAATAAACAAAAATATGTAAAATATATAAATAAGAGATATTAATACTAAGATTTCTGCAATGAAATCATTAGTTCCTTTTAACAAGACTGTTTTGGATTTAGGGAGGGCACTGGTGACATCACCAGCCTGAAGGGTCACATGGCAGCATCATGAGGCCATGAGGTAACAACAGAGTTACTTCAAGAGGGGAAGTTTAACACTGTACATAAAAATTATATAGCTAAGACACAGTGAAAATTAGCACATCCCACTTGATGCTTGCACTGGCATTTGCTATTAAGACAGCCAACTGTCTTTTAAAATGTGTGTTTGCTCAAGCAAGAACTCAATGTATGCAAGCCTGTGTATTTATGGATGCATGAGCATGGCGTTAGTAATATATGTGATTTGGAGGTAGCAGGTTGTACGTGTCAGATTGAGATGTGGGGGTGCACTGGTGTGATTTTTATGTAGGTGTTATTGTTTGGTCAGTAAATGCCTTTCATAATCACACACTTATTCTCTTCCTGTGGTGTTGTTAAAGTCAGTCTACGTGTGAATTATAATATGTGAAAAATGCATGCTAGGTTCCTCATTTAAAGTGTGAGGCTCAAGAAAAAACTTTGATTGGGTTTATTTTGCATGTTGAAGTTGGATGCAGCGAATGTCAGAATTCAATGCTGCTTGTTAGTTACACACTTTCTTTCATGTTTGCTTGATGTTTATGTCTGATATGTTAGCTTGGATCACTAACATATCAGTGGACCTCCAGACCTCAGGGACTCACACACTTGCGGCCCCTGTGTGAGCCACCTTATGAAACGTTAATGGCCCCAGCAGAGTGTGTGTCTGAGTGACTGGGTGATAACGGAGCCGGGCCAGCAGCGAGCTTTGTTCTGCGTTTGCCCCCCCCCCCCCAATGCCCTCTTGCATCCAAACCCCAGAGGGAAGACAACACTTCACATGTCCTGACCCCGAATATCTGCTCTGACCTTAAGTCCCACAGTCCTATCATCTTATTGTCTCACTCTTGTTCTACTTTGTAAATGCTGTCTGTTTTGGTTTGGGATGCTAAAGCTCCAAGTTAGTTGGATATGACAATTAATCTTGTTGTCATGAGATACCTTTTGATCCTACAGTGTTTAGACTGAGACTTTTTTTTTCTTGTTTTTTTACATCTTAGGATGACTTTATAAATGTCAGTATGGTATTTAGAGCCCAGGGGAGCTTTTTCTCCTTACACAGTCTGTGAATCAGATGAGTGTTTGTGCCGCAGTACACAACCTGACATCACACACACACACACACCGGTTTGTAGAGATTCAGAATGTCGCGTCTCTGGTTTCAGCCTCTGTTGTCTGACACATGGCTCGGCGTGATGCGGTGACATCACTGGAAAACTTTTAGATGTGGAAGCGGGTCCAGGATTCTGCAGTTCATGTGGGGAGAAAAAGAAAAAAAAAAGGGTGGAGGAGAAGGGATAGTTAGATATTTTGTTTCCCTGGTGCATCCTGTGAGATATGATTTCAGGACATCCAAAACTATTTATCAATATCCATTCAATCGCGTCTCCTCTTTCAGATCTGGGAGTTGTGAAGGGAAAATGTGAAGGGCAATGCATGATAGATTTATGCCACAAATCTATTCATACATTACCCTAATCGACCACACAGAGAGATCTCTTTGAAACAGGTTTTTTAGCCTGCAGTTTTCAAGAGTCTTTAATTGTTGTATTCAGAGCATGTTTAACTGAGTGTTGGGCGGTTTTCATTCTGTATTTTTTGGCCCACTTAAGTGTCAGAAGAGAATAGACAAACATGCAGTTAATCAACAAACTGTGATCATTAGCTACCAGCTGGGCGCAGATCTGGCACTATTTCGTCTTTGTAAAAAAAAAAAAAAAAAAAAAAAAAAGCTTTGTCAATACAGATCTGTCATGTAAATAATACACACAGTCACAGAAGTTCAATACAAAAAAAAAAGGAAAAGCAATGTGTCTCAGAGAAAGAAGCTGGCAGTAGCATCTTGTTTTTTCTTTCTCCTATACAGCCACAGAGCTTACACACATGGCTCTGAAGAGAAAGCAGGTGCAGCTCACTGGAATTAACTCACTTTCCCTGCTCTAGTTTTGATCCAAACAATAGAGGAATAGAGGCTGTTCTATTTTGACAATGTGGCCACTTGCATTCGTTAGTTATTAAATGTGCTGGTCTTGGGCCTCACACACACAAACACACACACACACACACACACACATGTACCTGAACATAGCCACAAACAGAAAAAAAAAGAAAAAGGGTCCATTAGATAAAACAATATTTGTGGTTCGAGTCGAGTGCATTGTCACTTTATGAGCGCTCGCATACAGCTTCAAGCACAGTCTGAGAGCACATCCGTTATTTATATCAGCGGCCTCTTACTCGCTACAAGAGGCGGTTAATTGGGCAACACAACAGCTGAACAATGTGTGTTAATGTCACTGTGAGAAAATAATGCCTCAGCTTTTTTTTAGAAGAAAGAAAAAGTTATAGGTGTGCATGTGTCTTGTGTTTAAAGCTGGACTGAGACAGCAAGCACATTCAGGCCATATGAAATGGACTATTTAATGCGACATCTGTTTCATGATGAACCTCAGGGCGCTTTGATGTACAGGCAATAACTGATCTTCTTTACCGTTATCTGTCTGAGACACACTGTTTTCAGTTCCTTAAATACAAGGCCAGCTTCTTTTTTTCTTCTTTTTCCTGGTATGGTGCATGGACTGTTACAGTCAGGGGGTTTTGAACCAGCTGCAGACTTCACTTTCATTTAATTATGTTTCCCTGAGAACTGCTCATTTTAAAATGGAAAATATGTTACACTAGATTTCTATTTATTCCTCTATTGTATGGGAGGGGGGGATGCACCTTTCGTTGTTTCCAAAACTCTTCAGCTAATGATAAATGGTTGATTTGATTTGAACTTAGTCATTGATCTTTTTATTTTTTTCATTCACATCAGCTAATCATTATCCTGTTATTCCTTTGTCTCCTTCTTTTACCCAGGTGACATTTACAAAGCGAAAGTTTGGCCTGATGAAGAAGGCGTATGAGCTGAGTGTGCTGTGTGACTGTGAGATTGCCCTGATCATCTTCAACAGCACCAACAAGCTGTTCCAGTATGCCAGCACAGACATGGACAAGGTCCTGCTTAAATACACCGAATACAACGAGCCCCACGAGAGCAGGACCAACTCTGATATTGTGGAGGTGAGATAACAAGAAAACGCAGACGGTGCACATATGCATAAAAAAAAAAAAACACACGCACAGAACCACGCACGCTCATGCAAACACACTGAAACACAAACGCAGACAGATGGTTACAGTGTTTGTGACTCATTCAGCAACCCTTACTTCTCTCTTTTCGTCTTCACACCTAACACAGTGTAAGAAATGATTGCTCTGTCTGTCTTCCCCAGGGGTTCAGTCCTAACATGAATCCCTTAAAAAAACTGTTTTAAGACCCATAGTTTATCAAAATTCAGAATTTTTTTTATTTTATTTTATTTAAGTTGCTTTTTTTAACGTTTAGTTTACTTTTTTGCCACTTTAGTTGTACTTTTGTGCCGTATAATCAGATGCCCCTTCCTCTGGTGCCTTTTTATCACTGATGCCTCTTAGATGAGGATGTTGCTCTGACTTTGTTTTGGACACATGTGGCTCAAGGAGACATTAAACAGTGCCGTCAGGGCAGCTGGTAGGCAGGTAGATAAAGCAGGAAAGGATGCTGGCACCCTCCAAGATCCTTAAGCTCTCAACGTGAACCTGTTATGCAACATTCAAACTGCGGCTCTGACGAACCTGGTGGGCCAAACACACACACACACACACACACACACACACACACACACAGGCAATGCATTCATGCAGAGTTTTTCCCTTTCTCTCGTGCGTACACATTTACGCTCACAGCACGCCTGATTAAACTGCACCTGTCCCACAAAGTAACGTTGAATAAATCGTATTATTTAACTGTCTGAAAATGTCACATACAGTATATATTATTCAAGGTTCCTTCTTGTTTATTTGATTAGTTCAACTGTTTGATACATTGAATGTTTTAAAAGGAAGACAGAGAGCATTTCTCATTTTGTGTGCAAAATTTAAATTAAATAGAGCTGACCACTGACTCTTATCTCAATTGTACACAAATGGAACAGTTGTAATATGACTTATTTATAGTATATATACTGTGATATCTACAACATGAATAATGATTCACAGCCTACTAAAACTTAACTGTATGTTTCCCCTGGAATTTATTGTTTATGCATGCTGATTTGATCGTTTTTAAAAGACACCTGCGGACAGCATAATGTTAATTCTTTACATTGTATGTGAACATTTTGATGCACAACATTGTATCTCTGTCATGGTCAGCCCAGTATTTAATAAGTTGGAAAGGAAAAACAAGGACAGGCTAAATGAAATGTCTCTCCTTAAATCACATGCACCTTGCTGGCTGGCCAGTCTGAACACAGCATGGGACGTGTTGTTATCTTTTCATACGGGTGTTGCTGGGCTTGTTGCCCACCTGTGGATGGGCAGGCCCACAGGGAACACTCCCTGCTTTTCCAGATGGCGCTCTGCACCTGACAGCAACCCTTTTACATTTTTCGATTACGCATATCAATTGTCCTAGTCTTTGGAAGAGATTTTTAACCTTAAATTATCCCCATCCTTTATGTACTCGTCCCTCATATCATGATTTAGGTTGAAAAAAAAAAAAAACTACATAAATAAACAGATGGCAGCATATTGCAAGCTTGAGAGTGCTTTGCTGATGTCATTACTGCTTTTGTTCCATCACCATTTCCATTTGTATTTTTATTTATTGCGTGTTAATGGAGCTCATACATCAAGAGAAACCAGCACTCAACATACGACTGACCCTAATGATGAAAACAAAGAGAATGGACTGGGTGCATTATCATAGACAGCATGTTGAAGCACTAATAAATCCAACACACACAGTAGAAATGCTTACCGGTATTCTCCTTTTGCAATATACTGTGCTCTTAGTCCCTCCATTTAATTCATAGCATTGAACCTTTTCTGTTAATTATTAATGTGGCTGACATGTAACTTTTTTTTTAAACTTAGATTGTTAAACATGTTAGTTCTTCCATAACTTCCCTTTATTGAACATTACAAATGACACATCTGTAAACATCTTTACCGTTTCCCAAAGCTTCTTTTGAGACTAGCTATGAATCAATCTTATTGCCACAGTTTGTGCAAAATTAATCGTGTTCATGTATATCAAAGGGGATAAAAAATAATCCTCTCTGCATTATATAAATTACATTAACCCATTTTGCATCAACTTATACCCCTACTCTTTGTATAAGCACTGATATGTGTAATGCTGCAAGCTCTTCAGCCTCTGTGTAGTCGGCATATTAGCCTGCCCTAGCTCAACCCATGAAGAGAGCTGTCACATGTTCAAGCAAGTGCCTGTGACGAGAGCTCCCCGCTTTGAAGCTCTCTCTTTAACTGTGTCTCCATTAGCAAGCAGAGGATGGCTAACGTGTAAACAGCCATGTCAGGGGAGGACGCTAAAGAGCCTAGTGGGGGGAGCACGCTGTAGAGCTCTACCTACACTGTGATCCCTGGAGTACCCCGAGCGACTCGCAGCGGGAGAAATTGATCTGAAGAGGCCTTCAGCCTGAGCCGTGGCGTGCTAACGGGATTGGCCACAGGGCCGATACTGGCACGTTTTACATTGGGGATGGGAGGAGGGTGTGTGGACAGGGAGGGCTAGGAACCAGGGGGGTTGGAACACTCCTGCCGAGTGTTGTGTGCCGCTGCTAGGCTACGTCACAGGTGCAGGAACGTGGGTGAGTTGTTGAGTTAAGGGGGGGAGGCAGGAGCGAAGCAGACTTCCTGTCGAGATGGCAGGATGATGAGGAGGAAAAGGTCCAGAACTAGATGTATGACTAGATTTAGGGGTGTAAATTTGATCAAAGTTTGCCATTAGAAGAACAATAACACCTTAAACATGACATTTACTTATTGACATATTTAATTTGTAATTGGTGGAAAGCTCTCGTCTTTAGAAGTATACAGGCTGCCTTCATCTCTCTCCGTCTGTTGCTGCGGTGCCTGAAGGTGTAGTGGGAGGAGAGGCAGAGGTAGGGGAGCGGAGCTCACAGTGTGGGCGGCTGGCATAGAGGCCTGCTACATTAGCAATAAAGCTCTATGTAATTAGCATGTCTTTGGTTGATAATTAGCGTTGTTGAGAGAGTGGCACTGAGAGTGTTGCACAGCCTCTCTAGCTACAGCATGTTTACAAGAGGCTGTAGGGCTTTTTTCTCTCACTCTCTTTCTTTCTCCTCTGTTTTCTCTTCTTTTATCAGGTTTTTCATTGAGCATGCATAATCTCTCAGATTTTTTTTCTGCATTATGTTGCATCTAGGTATGGGTCAATGGCTATATATAGATATGTATGTGAGGGACATAAGTATGGAGAGAGAAAGAGACACAGATAAAGAGATAGAGAGAGAGAGGAGCATTAAAGAAGGTTCTGATGACTCACTTGTAAACAGTCTCAGCTGGGAATGACACTTCCACAAATATCTGTTCAAGCAAAAGGTCCAAGAAAGCAAAGCTAACCCTTATCGGAGCATGAGTTGTAAAACAACAGAAGCTTTGTTAGACAAAGATATTATTGTCTCAATCACAACGCATGACACAAAGAAACCCATAATAATTGCATAAATACAGTGACAAATTCAATAAATACATTATGAATCAAACTGAGGACATGTGTTAGCACTCACAGAGACTCTCCTAAGAGACTATGATAAAACATGTACACTGTATCATCAGCTGTTAAACCAGTGGAGCGGTCCACATAATTAATGCTAATTGTTTAAAGAGACATCTAAGCCTATCCAGGCAGAGGCAGACCCTCTATCATTGGATGTCAGAGTGGTGTCATCCTGGCAAGTCTACACTCCACTCTGACTCTGGCTCCAGATAAAACAGTCCGACATGCAGATAGATTTCCTATACTCGCACTTTGCCAGGTCAGTTTCCTGGACATGTGAACTGAATTAGACGTCATGTTGGGAAATGACAAGGGAAAAGATCCATCTCTCCCTTTTCCCCCACTCTTTTGAGTCCTGCATAAGAACAATAACTCTGAGCTCTTATTGGCGTTTCATTATGCCAGTGTGGGGGTTGTTAATTGCAATAGCACATGAAAGAGTCTTTTCTTTACCCCTCCCGATGATTGCAGAACAAGCCCAAAACCTAAGCAGCGTTGGCTGGTTCTGGCTGTGATTGAATGGCCCCAAATCCAACAACACTCTTGGGCTGTGCCAAATCCCTGTTCCACAATAAATTTGTTTTCCCCTCACTGAGACAAAGAACACAGGTTTGGAAAACAACTAAAGGGAGCTGTGATAGGGAGCTATATCCCGTAAATTCCTGCAAATACCTCAGTGGAAGGAGGGAAGGATGCTCAAACACTAGTGCACACTGTTTTTGCATTTACAGAAAGAGCTATTTTGCATAAGCACACACATAAATGTTTTTGGCCTGTGTCAGTGTGTCTGCACTGCATGGGTCTATGCTTGTGTACATACTGGTGACAATTGGCTTGAACCCCGCAGAGCTGACGGCATTGTGATGACCTCAGCCAACACAGCACACTCTGATGCCATTGGCTCAAGTATCACATGCATCGGCACATGGCTCCTGGTACTGACCTGCCTGCCTGCTCGCCTACCTGCCAGAGGAAAGGTCGTTAGCCAATCCCATTTCCAACAGATTAACCTAATCTGAAAGTTCAGCTCACCCTGTAATCTTAAACAGCAGCAGCAGGGCTCTTCCTCCCCACCTTTTCCTCGACTTGTTCCTTTTCTCCTTTCTCTCTATCTGTCCTCACCTAGAAGTAACTATTGAATGAGGGGGGGGGGGGGGGGGGGGGGCGGGGGATGGATGAGTGCGAGGGATGAGAAGAGAGGGAGGGAGGGGAAGAGGAATGGAAGGGAGGAAGGCTGGTAATTATTTCCAAAGGTCATTCTGTTAATGACTACCCGCTTCGCTAATGAGATTCAGCAAAGCTCCCTCACCATGTTTCACCCTGCGTATGTTTCACCCGTGTGCCGAGATGTGTGAGAAGCACAGGTGTGATTTCAGCCCAGTGACTGTCCACTGGATGGGGGGGGGAGGGGGGAGGGAGATGAAGTGAGCGGTGT